TCTTTCCCTCTCTCCTCTCCTCCAGCACCCTCTCCCCATGCCGGTGGGGTTTGGGGGGGGTTGGGGGGCATGTTTCAGAGATCAGACTCTTTGGGAAATGTCCTACATAGCCACCTTGGGTTCTTTTTTCCTCCTGTGTATTAGTTGCCATCGTGCTGTAAGAGCTGTATTTGAATAACCTACAGTTTTTTAAGTCAAGGAAATAATTACATACGAAAGGTTCTGGGGTGTGGTGAGGGGACTGATTAGAAGCTTGAAGTAGCAAGCCTCAGATTTTTCTAGATTAGTGCCTCTCAGACTTTAATGTGCACACAGATCTCCTGGGGATCTTGTTAAAATGCAGGTTCTGATTCAGTAGGTCTGGAGTGGGGCCCAAGATACATTTTTAATGAGTTCCTGCAGCAGCAAGGTCCCAGAGAAGTTTTAAGACCTGGATGATTTAGATCCCAAGGTATTGACCTCTGGAACCTGAGATGGCTTGTCTGTAGTTGATGGTCTTACAGGAATTTGAACAAAAGAGAGGTGTCAAGAACATGAAGACAAGAAGATGTAAAGTCCTGAGTATTTAAAAAAAAAAAAAAATTAACTAGGGAATGGTGTGTTACAAAGGATAAAGCAAGGAATCAGAAAGAATTGGGTCCCACTCTGTCACTAATTAGCTGACAGACTCACTACAAACACTTGCCCTTTAAGCCTTGGTTTCCTTTTGTTAAGATGGGGTAATAATACCCACTTCTTAGGATGCAGGGAAGATTATTTACCTAAAGTGCTTCTGACACAGTATCTGGCATATACTAGATGTGCAGCATGTGGAAGCTGCCATTGTGAATGGTCGGAGCTTGACTGTACCTGTTCCAGACTGTAGAACAGATGATTGACCATGAACTCTGAGCACTTAAAGAAGTGGAGTTCATTAGTGGCCATTGTGGGTTGTCATGCCATTTTCTTTTTAGACAGGCTTGTTATCAGATTAGAGGAGTGTTACAGACATAATCGCTAGCTTTGACACAGGAATTTGACAAAGCCTCAAGATATCTTTGTGGGCATGTCAAAAAAAAATTGTAGGTTAGTTGAGGTAGATGGATTTGTGGGTGTTAGAATAGGTGTATCAACACAGTCATGAATACAGGTTGTTGTAAATGAGAAAGGTGGTCTACACTGGCACCCATATTGCTTTTTGACTCTTTCAAATACACTATTTTAAAATCTTGGGTAAAGACGTAGTTACTGTGGCCCATATTTATCCTCCTTGATGCCCTGACACAAGTCCTTTGGGCCAGCCATCTCCTTGAGTGTTTTTCTGCATCCTGCTTAATGCTGTGTTTCCCTGACAACTCTTGGAGCTCTGCTGTGCCACCCTTCCTAGGATTAACAAACTGCCCTTTATCTTGTTTGTCTCTGGCGAACGCTTCTGCCAACTTCTGCCTCCGCTGAAGGTTCTTCCTTCAGGATGTCACTTTCTCAAGTGGAGGCTGCATGTTCTCCCAGCCTTATCTGCCTCAGGGTCATTCTTTTTGTTCTTCTTACCAATTCCCCAGTCCTTACCCTTTTCTGAAGATCTCAATATGTGTTTTTTGTTTGTTTTAACCCCAGGCCCACTTGTCACTGTGGGTCCCTTTAACATCCACGTGAATGACCTATCCAGTATTTTAGCCTCCACACAGTCCACCTCAACCACCTGTGGTCGCATACCCTGGACCGCACCGTCCTCAGGACTTCGGACTTCACTGTTCCCCTCTTCCTGTTTCTCCTGTCTGCCCCTCTCCTCCTCTGGTAGCTGTCAGCACATGGCCCTTGCTGCTTCTCCATTTGCTTCCAGCATCTTGACTCTCCTGTCTTTCACCTGTAATGAATGACCCCTTCTTCATCTCTGTTGCTGCTACCATCAACCCTGTTGTCTCATTTCCTCCTTCACACCCTCTTTGGGAAAAACCCACAGCCCTGTATGGGTGCAGTGTCCACCCAGGTTCCCGACGCTGCTGGAGAGAGTCACCCAAGTCTGATTTAATACTCAGTCCCAGCCAGGAGCTGGGTACCAGCACTGTCCTCCCCAGTGTCCCTGCTCAGCCTCCTTGGCTGTCCCCATGGCAGCTCCCCAGTATCTCCCACTTACCTTCAGGATAAAATCTAAACACCCTCATTTGGTTTTCGAAGCTCTCTATGATGTGATTTTTACCTCATCATTCACCACCCTAACCTTGTTTCTGTAAAATGTGAAGAAAGATGAGGCCCTCTTAGGGCAGTGGTACCACTTTTAAGACCAATACACATGATATGTTAGTTTGCACAGTGCTTTTTTTTTTTGACACGTCTTGCAGCACCAAGTAGGACCCTGGCATAAGTCTTCACATCTCCTGCCCTCTCAGGGCGTGAATTTCAGGGGCTTGGGCTTGGTGTTTCATTGAGGTAGGGGTTTGTCAGGAGTATTTGAGAAATTTGACAGAAGTGTTTCTGATGGGTGTCAGAATCTAAGCTTTGAGGGACACTTAGTTTCAGCGTACCTGTGCATATTCAGTGCCTGTGGGGAAACTGCTTTGAAAGTCCTAGTTTTGAAAGAATGTTTCCTTAAGAAAGGAGGTCATAAACTAAGTAATAAACTCCTTGCTGAAGATGGTAAAGCTCCCCCCTCCCCAGCACACATACGTGTTAGACTGGCTAGATTTAAAAAACCAATGCTACTGAGTGTTGGCCAGCATGTGGAGGAACTGAAATTCATCAATGCTGGTGGGAGGGTGAAATGGTACATCTACTTTGGAGAACAGTAGGACAGTTTCTTTAAAAATCAAGGATAAATAAACAATAAAATAAACACATCTACACTATTCCCTGCATTTAAAAAAAAAAAAAAGAGTTGATACACCTACCTTATTTTGAGCTGAGAGGGAAGTGGTTGGCCAACGGAGAGCAGGGTGGTCTGATCTTGCACGTACCCTCTGTCATGAACACCCTGAAAGAATGCTTTCACTTTGATTTCATGCTTGGAGAGGTTTATTCCTGCCTCAGGAGGCTCACCACAGCCCGAGCCAGACATTCAGGCTGACTTTCAGGATGACTTGGACCCTGAAAGAAAACCAGCTTTGGTGACCTGTGTCTCACTCAGGTACTAGTGAGTAATTGTGAGGTAGAGCCAGTCACAGCCACCGTTTATTGAGCACTTTTATATGTAAACGCATTATTTTGGTTTCACCTCACAGCCTTTTTGAGGGGGATGTTTTCCCCTTTCTCCAGATGAAAAAACAAAATCAGATTAATATGGCTTCTTTCTTAGCTAGCTTTGGTGCCACCATAGCTCCATGGCCAAAGCCCTCTTCCAGCCCCTCCTCATGGATAAAAGGGTGTTTTGCTTTGCTTTGGATTCCTTATTTCCCCAAGGCCAAGTGTGGGAAAATGCTGCTCTCCCTTGCTGTCCACTTTACCTCCCTTATCTTTCCTGGCCGCCTCTGCTTCACTCTTTTTTGATGTTTAATATTTAAATATTGTGCGCTGGGTACTGCTGTGCTGAGCACTTTCCATCTGCTGTCTTAATTATTGAACCCTCCTGGCAATGTTATGAAATAGTTGGTATTCCACCCAAGATACCATGAGAAAATGGAGACTCAGAGAGCTTCCCAGAGCACGCAGCCATATAAAGGTGCGTCAGACCCAGGGTTTCACCCCAAGATTGTCGTAAGCCGGAGCCGGCTTAACCACAGCATCACTCTGCTTCCATCCTAAATGTGTGAAGTCCAAGGGTGCATAGAAGAGAATCTGCATATGCTAGAATTTTGCATAAAGGAATCTCTTAGATGAGATGGTATGCTTGTGCTCTACCAGACTTCTGGGGTGTGCCATGAAGTTCTGTATTTTAGCTATGTAGTGTTAGAAAGGTGGGAGTTCCTCTAATAAACACAGTAAGGAAGGAGTATGGTTTGGGCTTCCTAATTGTGCTGAAGGCATCTCCTATGGCAACACGGGCATGTGTGTCCAGACATTAATAGCAGTTGTGACCAGGGTCCCCAGTGGTATAGGTTCCCAGATGCTGGCCCTGACCCGCAAGCCTGGGTGGCAGAGAGCAGGAGTTTTGCTGCTTCTGTTGCAGCAGGAACTTGGGTCTTCAGAATGGCATCCTGTCCCTTCCGCTCATGGACCCCGGGTGTCTCTCTGCTTGTTACACTCTTAACTGCACCTCTGTCATGCTTTCGGTGGTCGTGGCTTGGTCCATCTTGCTGGGTGGCTGTGGGAGGGAAAGGCAAGGGCTCTTGGCTGGAAAGAAAACTAAGAGGTCATGAGACTTCCTTTTTATTTCCTCCCTTTTTTTCCTCTCTTCCTAGTATTGAGCATGCTCCACAATCCATTGGGCAGTGTCCTGGGGAAACCCCCCTTGGGCTTCCTGCCTCTGGACCCCCTTGGATCTGACTTGGTGGACAAGTTTCCAGCACCCTCCGTTAGAGGATCCCGCCTGGACACCCGGCCCATCCTGGACTCCCGTTCTAGCAGCCCCTCTGACTCAGACACCAGTGGCTTCAGCTCTGGATCAGATCATCTCTCAGATTTGATTGTATGTAACTTGCTGCAGAGTGGGGTGGGGAGAGCACGTGAGCTGGAGGTGGGATGCATGTCCATTAGAATGCAGGCTGCGAGGTGGCATGATGGGAGGTGTGGAGACATGTATAGAACTTTCCATCCTCGACAGAATAGAGGGTGCCTCGTATACCCATTATACGCATTGAGCAGTACATTTCAGGACCTGACCTGAGGACTCTGCAGGTTACTCCAAGAGCCGCTGGGAAAGTTAGTTTCAAAAATAAATATGGGAGTCCTGGCAGTGTTCTGTTTCTTGACCTCCATGGGTGTTTTCTTAGCCTTTAAACAATATCATTTATGTACCTTTATGTATGATATCTCAAATATTTTAATTGATGATTTTAAGAATCACAAGTTAGTAATCAGTGGGGCTAGGGTTTTAATCCAGATCTGACTCCAGCTCTTTTTCAGAGGCCACGGTGAATCCATGAAATAATGTCTCAGAGTTAATCTTTGCATCTCCTGCTCTGCATCTACAGCCACGTGTGACATGTGTGGCACTCGTGCTAAAGGGGGTTGGAAAGTGGGTTATGATAGATGAGGAATAGGGGATATTAGAAGTAAATATATAGGAATGGCAGGGAGAAATCATCCTGAAGTAAAATGCAATTTAAGGTGCCTTCTGAGCCTCCTTCTCTACTACCAAAGCCACTGAGCTGACTGTTCAATGAATGTAATGGCTATTTTCCTTCCCCCTTCTCTTCCGTATCCAAGACTGGCAACGCTGGTTGTTGCCACGTCCCATTCATAGCATGACCCCTTAGGGCCCACCTTGCCTCCCGCCAGTCCGTCCTAGGATATGAAAGCTGGCATTGGTGTCCCCACTACTCCCTGGTTTTATCTGTTCAGGATGTGTTTCCAGAAAGGTAACTACAAGCAGGGCTCCTTTGATTCTCTGGGCTGCAGTTTTTATTCCCCTATAAAATGGGATTAGGTGGGATGCTTATAATTCTTTTTTTTTTTTTATAATTCTTTTCATTACTTTATATGGGCCTCAGTCTTGGAAATTTGCCTCATAACCAGCTTTAATACTTTGGGATTTCGTTTAAAGAGCTTTTCTCTGATTCCCACCCCAAAGGTTAATTGATGAACAGGCAAGTCACAGAAGAGGAAATAGAGGCAGTATTTGAACTTACAGGAAATATTCTATTGAGTGATTATTTTAGTTTATTTTTTGATAATGTGGTATCATTTCTACCCACTTAAATTAGTAGAATTTAGAACCTTGACACAAGCTTGTTGTTTTTAGAAACTTGTGTTCTCATACATTTCTAACAGAACACAGAACCTTCATAGAAAGCATTTTGGCATTCTACGTCTAGGAATCTGACCAGAGAACACATAAAATATGAAGAAGCTACATTTTATTTAAATGTTTTTAAAATAAAGTTTAAAGTTTTTATTTATAATCCTGAAAACTTGCAAAGTATCTAAATGTTTAACAGGGGGAATAGGTCAGTGAAGTGTAGCTTGTTCCCTAAATAGAATATCATAAATTAATTAAAAATGGTTATGAAGACTGGCAACGTGGAGAAAAAGACTGAACTGGGGAGAAAAGAATTTGTTTAAATTATGGTATAAGGACAGCTAATCTTAACGCATAGGAAGAAAGTCTAAATGAAAATGTATCAAATATTGGTATTTTTCATAATTTCTATAGTGTGATTATTACTTTTGTAACAACTGTCCTTTAAAAACCTATATCTTCCTTTTTTCTTCCCTAGTCAAGCCTCCGAATTTCTCCTCCCCTGCCCTTCCTGTCTCTGACGGGGGGTGGTCCCAGAGATGCTTTAAAGATGGGGGTTGGGTCCCGGCTGGACCAAGAGCAAGCTGCTCTGGCTGCAGTCACGCCATCCCCAACCAGCGCATCAAAGAGATGGCCAGGAGCTTCTGTGTGGCCGTCCTGGGACCTCCTTGAAGCCCCCAAAGACCCCTTCAGCATAGAGAGAGAGGCCAGGCTACACAGGCAAGCTGCAGGTGAGTATGGCTGTGGGCCTGCTGGGGGCCTGGGGCCTCATTCTCGGGCAGTGAGTAAAAGTGACCTTAGTTCACAGACCGGGGAACTGTCCACAAGAGGACTTGACTGCATGGTGAAGTCTGCTTCTGCACAGAGTGGTCTATTTTGAGGAGTGAGTGCTAATGCGGACACACTCGGTAACTTTTTTGAGGCTGCGCAGAGAGGAACAATAGATAATCTGGCACACTGGGTTGTGCCTATTAGGGGTTGGATCCATCTCTGACTTTTGCTCGTCTGTGGAGATTGTGCACTGCTCTCGCTTTTGATTCTTTTCACAGGTGCATGTGTTCAAGAGAAACCCTGGAAATGGTGCCTAGAATTTTGTCTATCTCCCCCTTACTAATTCAAAGACATGTCAGACACAACCCATGCTGGAGCTTTCTTCCCCAGGGCTTTCTGATTGGTATACACAGGGATGCACTGTGGGGTGGGTGGTCCATTTGTCAAGGGATGTCCCCAGGTGTACTGGTCTGTCAGGAACCCTTAGATTCTGTCATATAAGTTACCTTAAATCCATTATTAAATCTGTTCTTCATCTTATACCAGTACTTGGAAGCAAATGAGCTGTAAATGTCATTGTTTACTAGTGCTTCAGGGAGATGCTCACTGACCACTATTGTAAGGTTCTGGAATTGATTAAATGAATGTTCAGTTTCTCCATTCCCTTTGTTTCCATAGGTTTCAATATGTCTGTCTTTCTACTCACAGAGCTAGACCTGATCTCATTCTCCCCAGCAGTGCTCCTGCCCTATTTTAATGCTTTCGGCAATCTGTTTGTACTTTCTGTGTTGCCATTGTTTTCCTGTGAAATGACTTTACTGTGCTTTTGGATGAGGCCATTATATCGACTTCTGTTTTTGTTTGCAAAATATTGCTGATGGTGCCTAATTTCTTGCTGTAGCAACACATTGGGCCTATGCCTCTTAGAGAATGGCCTTCCATGTTATTGTCCTGAATGCAAATGGTGGCTCAGTTCATTAGCTGTCTGCTCCAGTGCTGGAGGAGGAGAGTCAAATAGGCGAGGACTGGCCAGTTCCCACCGAGGTCAGTCTCTGATCTGGGAGGGCACGGGCTGAGTGGGGACAGGATTAAAGACTGATACGATAGAAGGCCCGGTGGTTTCTCTTTAGGTACCATAGCGATAGCTTTGGAAATGATGGGGAATTGTTCTGACTTGGAACAGTTGTGGCATTCTTAGCTTGTTGGGTTGCTGGTGCTGGTTTTTATTGGCAATGTCCTAACTTCTGTGAGTGATGAGTTCAGCGAAACAGTATAATGTTCCTTATTTGAACATTTGGGGAGAAGGTCCATTTGGACCAGTAAGCGTTGAGGATGTTGTATGAAAACTTGTCCTGTTTACTTTCAAGTACAGGCATACCTTGTTTTATTGAGCTTCACTTTATTGCACTTCACAAATACTGCGTTTTAAAAAAAAATTTTATTTTATTTTGGAGTGTAGTTGATTTACAATGTTGTATTAGTTTCAGGTGTACAGCAAAGTGATTCCATTATACATGCACATGTATCTATTCTTTTTCAAATTCTTTTCCCATTTAGGTTATTACAGAATATTGAGCAGAGTCCCCTGTGCTATACAGTAGTTCCTTGTTGGTTATCTTTTTTAAATATAGCAACGTGTACATGTCAATCCTAAACTCCCAATCTATTGATACTGCATTTTGTTTTTTTATATACAAATTGGAGGTTTGTGGCAACCCTGTGTTGTCAGATGATGGTTAGCGTTTTTTAGCCATAAAGTATTTTTAAATTAAGGTAGGTACATTGTTTTTTTTAGACATAATGCTGTTGCACACTTAATAGACAACAGTATAGTGTAAATGTAACTTTTATATGCACTGGAAAACCAGAAGATTTGTGTGACTAGCTTTATTGCAATATTCATTTTATTGTGGTGATTTGGAACGAAATCCTGCAGTATCTCTGAGGTGTGCCTATAATTATAAATTTAAAATAATTAGTATTGTAAGTAGTGACTAGATAAAACTGCTTTCTGGTTATATGTTATATGTATGAAAAATAGCTTGAGTTGTGATCATTTTTACCCTACACATCTGGTTTGCTATTCCTCTCAGTTTTAGTGGAGACAGAACTAGTGAATTAGGGTTGTCATACTGGGCTGACTGGTTTGGTGAGGTGTAAGTTTTCTTGCTTTTCAGAGTAGTCATGGATGTTCTCCCAGGCAGCCAGACTAGGACTGTGGCCTCTCTCCTCCTTCCTGGATAAAAGTTCACCACAGAGAAGGGCAGTGACTTGGTTAGTTCTCTGACTCCTGTTTCTCTTTGTCTTCTGCCAAAGCTGTGAATGAAGCCACCTGTACCTGGAGTGGCCAGCTTCCTCCCCGGAACTACAAGAACCCCATCTACTCTTGCAAGGTGTTCCTAGGAGGTGTCCCTTGGGATATTACGGAAGGTGAGCTCTGAGACCTTCTGCTTCAATTGTTAAAGGTGGGGCATGTCTTTTAGGAACAAGAAACTTGGACTTGAGGCCAAGAACTGAACCTCTGCCTGGACACAGGGTATTACAGGAGCAACTGTGATGGGAAAGGTGCACTTCATAGACTCGTACAGTGCTTCTGTGTCTGTTGCATACAGTTGTCACCTGAGACCAAAGGTCAATTCTGAGTTGTCTGTCAAGAAGGATGAGCCCAAGAGAATACTAGTGGCCCTGTGCCTTCCTGGGGAGGATGGTGTCTCAGTTTCTGTCATTCTTTTCATCTCTTTGCAGCTGGATTGGTTAACACCTTCCGTGTTTTTGGCTCTTTGAGTGTGGAGTGGCCTGGTAAGGATGGCAAGCACCCCCGGTGTCCTCCCAAAGGTAATATGCCTAAAGGTAATAAAGACATGGTAGGAGCTTTTTTTCCCTCCCTAGTATGTAATTGCACTGAGGGACGCTGGGGTGTCACAGCTGCATGATGATAACGAGGTTTGGGCACTCCACAGCACAGAACTTTCAGCTCTCGGCACTCCTTCTCAACCTCACACATCCTTCTGTTTCTTCTGAGCCAACGTTCCATCTGTCCAAACTCACACTGCAGTTGGAGCTCCCTGTGAAACGGCCTTGTGCACTTCCCTCCAAACCTGAACCCCAGCCATTCCTGACCTCTCAAAATGAGGCGTTTGAAAAGCTTTCTTTTACTTGCCTTTCCTTCCTAGTTACGTTGTTGCCTGACCTAATTCTGAGCTCCCTTTGGAGTTAGCAGGAATGAGGACCAAGCATCTGATTTCTCACTGGTCTGAAATGAGATCCCTTCCCTGTAGAAAGGAGCAGGTGCTATTTTCACTCTGCCCCATCTTCACTGAAAGTGTTCCGATGAACTGAACCAGTGGTCTAACTAGGCTTTTAAAGGAATATCTCCATCCCCTGGCCCCAGACCTGTCATCGCTCCTGCCCCCAGGAAAGCCAAGCTTGCTGACCTGAACATGCTTTGTGTTGTGGGATAAAGAGCTATGTGGTAATGATGGGATCCTCTGTCCTACTTTGCCAATCCCTTCCCTTACTAGGGTGGGAGATGGTGTGCTTCTCCCTCCGTTGGCCTGGTTGTCCAGCATAGCAAATGCTTCCATTCAACAAGACTTTCAGGAGTAGGACAAAAACGTGTCTCACCCATAAGGCATCCTTCTCGAAAGAAACTCCCTGCCGCAAAACCAAGGCTGAGGAGTAGCCACCTGAGGGATGTTAATGCAATTTCTCCTTCCATTGGGAATAGGGTATGTATATCTGGTCTTCGAACTAGAGAAGTCTGTCCGGGCCTTGCTTCAGGCTTGCTCTCATGACCCGCTGAGCCCAGATGGCCTGAGTGAATATTACTTCAAGATGTCCAGCCGGAGGATGCGCTGCAAGGAGGTGAGTTGGCACAGCGTCCTTTCTGAATCGGGTGATTGGCATATGAGGCAGTGGATTTCATGGGGGGGGTGGATACACAGGCTGCAGACAAGTATCCCTACTGAGGCAGGAGGGCTGCTCTTCTTGCCCCACGGTGAATACAACAGAACACTCTCAGCTGCATTGCCCCCCCCCCCCCCCCCCCGCCGCACCTTTGGGCCATAATGGTATGTATGTGCTTCTGCCCATGGAAATCAAACTGTCTCGCAGATCTCCTTCTATTCTAGCCAGTGCTTCTGTCCCAAACCTCTTGTCTTAGAAATGAAATTGAAACTAGCAGCTTTCTCTGCTTGGACTTAACTGAAAATCTACAGTTGTTTCTCCCTAGTCCTGCTCTCAGGATGTGCCTTCTCACCTCCTAATCTGTGGTGGGTAGATCCCTCTTTAGCCCACATCTATCCATGGATGACTTCTTCACTGCCATTCAGGGCTTTATTATTATCTAGTTTCCTCCATCTGGTTCTCTCTCTTTAGGCCGTCTCTGGTATCAATCTTGTGTGCCCTCAGCATCGTGAGTCTCTAGCATAGAGCCATCCTGCCTGGGAGCCTCATTGCATTTTCTTGGACCCTATCTCAGGCTTACTAAGTCAGTTTGGGTGGAGTTTAAGAATCTCCACTTTAGGACTTCCCTGGTGGCGCAGTGGTTGAGAATCTGCCTGCCAATGCAGGGGACACGGGTTTGTGCCCCGGTCTGGGAGGATCCCACGTGCCGCGGAGCGGCTGGGCCTGTGAGCCATGGCCACTGAGCCTGCGCGTCCGGAGCCTGTGCTCTGCAACGGGAGAGGCCACAACAGTGAGAGGCCCGCATACCGCAAAAAAAAATCTCCACTTTAACCAAGTTCCCCAGTGGTGCTAGTGGGTGGTGTTTGAGAACCGCTTATCAAAGGAAGTTTTGAACTCAGGAATCAGTGTTATTTTTTAAAATTTGGTTCCAGAGTACATTACTTTTGTGATATTGGATGAGATATTTAACATCATGAAACTTCATTTCCTCATCTATAAAATGGAAAATTGAAATGCCTCTTTTAGTAAAAAGATTAGCAGTTGCCAGGGGTTATGAGGGTAGAGGGGATGAATAGGTGAAGCACAGAGGATTTTGAGGATGGTGAAGATACTCTCTGTGATACTGTAATGGTAGATACATGCCATTATACATTTGCCAAAAACCCATAGAGTTATAGTGGTAAAACAAACCCCAAGTGTGAACCCTAATGTAAACCATGGATTTTGGACAATACTGACGTGTCAGGGTAGGTTTCCTGATTGCAGCAGGTGTGCCAGTCCCGTGAGGGGTGTTGAGAGTGGGGGAGGCTGTTCGTGTGTGGAGGCGGGGGGGCATTATATAGGAACCCCACATTTTCAGCTCAGTTTTGCTGTGAACTGGAAGCTGCTCTAGAAAGTAAAGTCTACTAAAATCTGTAGGGTAATGGAGAAAATGTCTGTTTTATTGAGATAGTCACATTGGATTTAAAATAAATGATGCATGTGACAAAGCTGGCTCTTTGTTTTACGATGTTTCCTGGTGTGAGTTCACATTTTGTCCTCTGGCTGCGCACGGTGCCCCACAGCTTCCCTGCCTTCTTTCTTGCTGTTGGAGCTCATGTAGTTATCACAACTTATGATGCTCTGGGACTTAACAACATGCTCCTTCTTCCCTGTCCCCTGCTTTCACAGCGAGAGGCTGCCATTGCAGCACCACAGGCCCTCACCCTCCTCAGTGCCCTGCAGACACCTTCCTGCTCCTAGTCCCTCGTCACCGCACCGCACAGTGTTTGAATAGCTTTCTTTGATGCATGGGCTGTAGGCAGCTCTGGTTCTCATATCTCTCTGACCCTCTATTTCCTTTGTGTTTCCCCCTCCACACCAGAGTAGTAGGTATTTGATTTGCCCTCTCTCTCCTTCCCCATATCAGACAAGTTACTCACTTGTGTGGCTCTGCTCTTACCTTTAGACCAGACTCACCTCTCTAGTCTCATGTCCTACTTGAGCCCCACCTTCCTGTGGGGCCTTTCTTTGGCCTGTCCTATAATTATAAACTCTTACTTTTAAGAAAGCTTGGAGAGCATGGTGGCTGTTGGGATGTGAACCAAGATTGTGATACTTTCCCCATGGTAATGGAAAAAGCAAGATGGGCTTTTGCATCTTCCAATGAAATTGGCTCCCCCTGGTAACTTCTCCCAGGCTCTCTCATCTCAAGGTTATCTGGGTCTAGAACCCATCTGACCTGATCTAGGTGTAGAACCTATCCGACCTTGTTTTCCCACCATGCCCAGGCAGTCTGAATTCTGCAGATTCTCCTGTTGAAGAATCTTCTTGACCTTGGCCTGTTCTTTTCCCAGTACCACCAGCCTTCTCCAGGTCTTTATCAGCTGTCCTGTGAACTACTGTTCTGCCTCCTTGCTGGTTTATGCCTCAAATCTCTTCCTGTTTGAGACCTTTTTTTTTTTAAAAACAAAAAAAAAGATCTTCATAATCTTCCAAAAACACTTACTGATCATCTGTCAACTCACTTCATTCTGGAGCCTTCTGTCTGCTATGCCAGATTTTGTTCTAGGCTCAGGATTTGGAAGCAGAGGACATGGTCAATTCCTGGCCTAGTGTCACTCTGCTCTGCAGAACCTCAGTGTTCTCCTGTGTGTGACTTTGCACACTACCTCTCTCCAGTTACTCCCACTGCTCCTGTCACAAGCCCTCTAATGAGTACATTGGGCCAGTAACCATCTCATACAGATACCTTCAGCATCCCCACCCTTTTCTGTCCTTCAAGCTCCTATCCTGTCATTCTCTGTGAATCCTTCCTGTCCCAAGGACTCTAGACCATGCTGTCTGTTCATCAGTGTCCGTGGTCCTTTGTTGGAACCACATGGTTGAAGGTTGTAACAGTGCTAGGTTCCTGGGTATGACAGTTTGGGACTATTTTGCTTACTCTTCAGAATGGGTAGACTACTACTATTACCATTTAAAAAAAAAATCATTTTGGATTCATGGACTCAGTAAAATTCAAGTCTAGTTGTGTTGGGGTGAGGGTGGCTTGCTGAGTACCTGTGTGCCTGGGACTGTATGGGGCTCAGCTTAGCATCTCCAGAGCATGTGCCTCTCCATACGAGAGCCTTTTTCTGGCTCCCTGCCAGGGCTGATATACCTTTGGGTGGTTTTTAGGTACAAGTGATCCCCTGGGTCTTGGCCGACAGCAACTTTGTTCAGAGCCCATCTCAGAGACTTGACCCCAGCAGGACGGTGTTTGTTGGTGCTCTGCACGGGATGCTCAATGCTGAAGCCCTGGCAGCCATTCTGAACGACCTGTTTGGTGGTGTGGTATATGCTGGGATTGACACAGATAAGCACAAGTATCCCATTGGTAAGTGTCCCACTTCTGTGTGGGAAAGCTGGGTGGCCCCTGGGATGTAGACCAAGATTGTGATACTTCCCTATGGGAGTGGAGGGGGAGATCTGACTCAGACCTGCAGATCAGCATATACCAGCAGTATAGCATCTTTTTCTAGATAAGCCACCAGTACTGACCCCTCTGTACCCATCCCTCTCCCACCACTTCCCTTGAAGGGGAGAAAAATTGATAGGAGGTGAAAATGAAACAGGAACTTTGGTTGGAAGCTCAGAGTTCACAGCCAAACCCAGTCTGAGACAGACAACAGGTAATATTTCATTAAAAGGCCAGGACTTTCCTGAACTTGCTTGGTTTCCTTTGTTAAGAGGCCTTGAAAAGCGGCCTTGTCTAGGGTCAGAGACCACGTGAGGCTGAAGGAAGACTCTGGGTGACTCAGCCAACAGAGTATGGTCATGGCCTATGCTGTCCTAGTGTAGGGGAGTCTGGGGGCCTAACCACTGGATTTTGGTCAGCCCCACTGGGAAAGGAGGGCAGTTTCCCAGTCGTGGTAGAATAATCTTAGTGGTGGGGTTTGGAGGTGGAGCAGAGCCTCAGCTTCCTGATCAACACATGGCTAATCCACCTTCCCACATGCTTCGTCTGCCCACCCACACAGAATCTGGTCAGGAAGGAGCATCTTGTGCCTTTCAGTGCCGCACCGCAGATTGAGAACAGGGACTTCAGAGGCTGCAGGGGCAGAGGCGGCACTTGGCAGGATGAGGCTGCTTCCGGCTCCCCTGCTAGGCTCTGGAGTACCTCCAGGCCAGGAGGGCCTTGACTGCTGGGCCTGCCTTCAGAGAGGTGTTCTGTCTGCATCTTGCTTTCCACTCTGAACCCTTGTAACCGTGCCTGTGCATCTGCTTACACGGAGGAGTCTCTTCCCTCCCCCTTGTGGTCAGCAAGTCCTCCCCCCATTCCTGAGGGGGTTGTGCCATCATGGTCTACAGCTACACTGTCTGATACAGTGCCACCAGCTAAATGTGACTCTGAGTGCTTGAAGTGTGCCTAATGCCACATGTTGAAATGATAATATTTTGGATATATTGGGATAAAGAAAATAAATTAATTAAAATTAATTCCACTACATTTTTCTTCTTCATTCCACTACATTCATTAAATGCGGCTACTAGAAAACTTAAAATGACATAAGTAGCCCACATTATATTTCTATTGGACAGCACAGCACTGATCTAGGAACAGGGTTTCCTGAGCGTTGACAAGTGGCGTTTGGGAGAATTTGGCTGGAAGGTAAGTTTTCCTGTTTTTCCTAGGGTCTGGTCGCGTGACTTTCAATAACCAACGTAGCTACCTGAAAGCAGTCAGTGCTGCTTTTGTGGAGATCAAAACCACCAAGTTCACCAAGAAGGTGAGTGGGCTGGTCTGTACCCTCACTCTGGGCCATCTGAGAGGGGTTTGGGCCAGCCACTACCCAGGGCAGGCCTGAGACGGAAGCTGTCCCTGTGCTGGATATGCTCTGGGGAATGAGTCAAGCTTCCAAGGACACACTTGAGGTGAGGTTTGGGTTTGGGAGGGACCTGGTCTTGGTCGACGCGGGGGGATGGGAGCTTGGGACTGTTGAGCCTCAACATGTGGGGTGCCTTCCTGTGCTGTGTTATTTGGCCAGCTTTGCAAGGCAGCCTGACTTCTATTCTCCAGCCTGACCTGCATTTTCTGATTGCTTACTTGTTGCTGGATGATAGAGTGCCATGGTCCGGTTTGCTGAGAAGACCAGGCAGTAGTGTGTGTGGTTGCACACACTTTGTAGAGCCAGCCTGGCAGCTTCTGCAGTTTGGGCACCTGCCATCAAGGATCTCTGTACTTTCTGCCTATAGTTCTCTCTGGGCCCCCCTTAAAACAGGAAACCCCCTGTATTCATATGGATGGCCCATAACATGCCCTTCTCTTCTGGCCCATTTGGCCTCCTGGTGAGAAGCAGCCACTTCATTATCCTGTTTTGCTTTGTGCAGGTTCAGATTGACCCCTACTTAGAAGATTCTCTGTGTCATATCTGCAGTTCTCAGCCTGGTCCTTTTTTCTGTCGAGATCAGGTGAGTCCCCTGGGCACTTGAGATGTTTATAAAATCCCCGCCTTCAGTTAAAGATTGTCATGTCTCATTTGTCACGTGGAATGTTGGAGTTCTCAGGTACCTCGCGGTTGTCTTAAGAGCATAGAAGAGGCAGCAGTAATGTTTGCTGATGATCAGACCAGAGACACACTTGACCCAAAACTGTTGGGAAGGCTCGTTGAGTCTTGATACTTTGGCCTTCTCCTTGCCTGGGATGTTGGTTTTCAGTGTGGCACTATTGGTAATGGTGGTTTTTGAGGATGATAGGACCCTGCTGGGCGTGGTCAGCAGTACCTATGAGCCAGGCACTGTTGTTCTAATTCTAAGGCCTTCTAGATTGATTTTCCCCTATGCATGGAAGCTTGCTTTATTTACTTCTGAACCTCTGGACTGTTTTGATATTTGTACCTGGTTTGTACCCAGTTGTCAGAAGCAGGCAGAAAGCAGCATGGCAGTTTTTGTTGAGTGTTTCTGGGTGGTGGAGCACAGATCTGGATGTATTTGGGCAGTGCTTCTCATAGTCTAATGTATATACGCATCACCTAAGGATATTGTGTAAATGCAGATTCTGATTCAGTAGGTTTGGAGTGTGGTCTGAGATGCCTTGTTTCTGACAAGTTTCCAAGTAGTGCCAGTGTTGCTGGCAACAAGACAAGTTTGGGACGTGTTCGAATACTAGCAGTGCATCCGTAGTTATTTTTGCAGTGGTGCTGTCACTCAGGTTTGGAGTCTCTGGGTAGACAGTAGTTAAACTGAGGCTGCAAAATGAGGACATGAAGTAAGTTAGGGTTGCTGGGTAAAGCCGGAGAATAAGTGTATCTCTGAATAGCCTCTTCTAGCAGGCTTTTGTGTGTGTGTATCTTCCACAGATGATCCCCATTTTTAGATAATGGCTCAGAAGTTTAGTGGCTTGCCCAGGCTTACACAGCCAGCGGGAGTGTGGGCCCGGGACTGAGGTAGTGCCCAGTGACCTCTCCTCACTTAGTGTGATGAGGGAGCCGTGCTGCCCGGCATTAGGATCTGGAGTCACTGTCTTTAAATGTTCTCCCATGTTAGCAGGCGTGTGCTACAGCTGCTCCACAGGAGGTGGGAAGGGCAGGGGACTGGAAGAGCAGCTGTGGTGCTAAGAGGAGATGAGGGAAGCTGGCACAGCCTCTACACAATAGGAGCCCAGCATGCTGGATTAAGTCTGGGCACCTGTAGAAACAGGCAGTGGATTTGCCATGGTTTGGTCAGGCCTCTGTTGGGGATGAAAGGGATCCCCAGGACCATCTCTTCTAACCCCGCAGAGGCCATCAGGAATCCCCCACTCGCTCTTGGGCAGAGCAGGCAGCTCATGCAGCTGCCCCCCTGGCTGATGCTGACACAGGCCTGGCTTCTCTCTGTTTTTCTCTGCTCCACCCAGGTGTGCTTCAAGTACTTCTGCCGGAGCTGCTGGCACTGGCGGCACAGCATGGAGGGCCTGCGCCATCACAGCCCCCTGATGCGGAACCAGAAGAACCGAGATTCCAGCTAGAGGAGCTGGCCTTGCCCAGTGGCTTGTGGCGCCTGAGGCTGGCAGGTCAGGCAGTAGCCTGCACCACCCTGCCACTGGCCACCGGGGAGCTGGCTTCCCGAGGACAAGGGAAAATCGTAGTCACCTTTGCACTTGCTGAATCTGTCTTTGTTTCTGCACTAATTAATGCACAATGAGTTTTGTCGGATTTTGTTTTCAGGGGGTGTACCAGGGCAAGGACCCTCAGGCTCACCCTCCAAGCGACTCTGTAGTTTTCCCAGATTTTAGTTCCTCATTTTGCCGATGAAAAAGCAAAAAAGAACTACGTGTCCAGAAGGTATTGACACGATGCCTACATCTAGGTTTATTTATTAAAAGCGCTTTTTTACATTCCTTGCAATACTGATGGTGATGATGTGCAGGTCTCATTGGTTTCATTCTTGCAGTTGCCATACAGTGCCTTTCCATTTATTTAACCCCCACCTGAACGGTATAAACTGAGTGTTCAGCTGGTGTTTTTTACTGTAAACAACAAGGAGACTTTGCTCTTCATTTAAACCAAAATCATATTTCATATTTTACGCTCGAGGGTTTTTACCGGTTCCTTTTTACACTCCTTAAAACAGTTTTTAAGTCGTTTGGAACAAGATATTTTTTTTTTTCTTTCCTGGCAGCTTTTAACATTATAGCAAATTTGTGTCTGGGGACTGCTGGTCACTGTTTCTCACAGTTGCAAATCAAGGCATTTGCAACCAAGAAAAAAAAAATTTTTTGGATTTGAAACTGGACCGGATAAACGGTGTTTGAGTGGCTGCTGTATATAGTTTTAAATGGTTTATTGCACCTTCTTAAGTTGCACTTACTTGGGGGGGGAGGGTTGATAGAAGTTTTTAATCACAAAGTCACAGGACTTTTTTCTTTTGTAACTGAGCTAAAAAGGGCTGCTTTTTGGTGGGGGCAGATGAAGGCTCACAGGAGCCCTTTCTCTCAGAGGGGACAAGTACCCTTCCCTTATTTCTTTCATTTGAGAAATGTATGAAGCAACAGTTGCAGTTGACTGAAATGCTACTGGAATTTGAAAACTTGACTTTTTCTTTAATTTTTTTTTTTTTTTTTTTTTTTTTTAGGCTCACAGGAGCCCTTTCTCTCAGAGGGGACAAGTACCCTTCCCTTATTTCTTTCATTTGAGAAATGTATGAAGCAACAGTTGCAGTTGACTGAAATGCTACTGGAATTTGAAAACTTGACTTTTTTTTTTATTTTTTTTTTTTTTTTTTTTTTTTTTTTAAAAACCGACTTGCCCCTCTTTGGGAAGCTGTGTGCCAAAGAACCAGTGTCATAACCCCCCCTCCTCCCTCCTGCTGAGCTGACGTTGCATTGTTGCATATCCCAGCTACTCTGTGGGTTTTGTGAAGCTGTGTGTGAAGTCTCTACCTCATTGTAGTATATGCAGGCAAGACTGCACTCTCCTACAGATGTGTGGAGTAAGCTGTGGTGTAGTTTTTTTGGCACATAATAAACACGTTGCAGCAGAGTTCTGGTTTTGTCTCTGTGTCTGAGCTGTGGGAAAAAGGGGGCAGTGGGACACCAAGATTCCAGAGTAAAAACCCACATTTCCTTGGATCTTCTATGATGAGATTCCAGCCCAGGTTGATAGTGGGGCCATGTGGGGACTTGCCCCTGTAAGTCCTTCTTGGTCACTTCTGTGGTCAAATGCACCTCGGAGGTGCCTCTCTAGTAAGTGGGTACCTCTAGTCTAGGTATGTAAAAAGCCCTCACAAATAAACTTCTTGGGGCTCCTCTTTTAATAATCCTAGACTCAGTTTGGAGGAACTGGAGGCATAGCTCCCCAGAGGTCAGCACGAGCCACTTGTTCTCAGCTTCTCCTGTAAGCCTCAGAGCTGATTCTTCTTCTTGGGAGGCTTCCTATCTCTTGGAGTCAGCTGTGCTGACCCAGTTCTTTACTGAGTGGGAGTAAATTTTTGCTGTTCTTCAGGACTGTCATCTGGACTTTTTCTCACAGGCGGGATCCCAGGATTTGTGAAAGGGTCTGCTGGTGATTTTTTCAGGTAGGTTGTTCCTGGGCCCAGCTGCTGGAGTTATCTTTGGAAGATTCCATTTTAGTCTCCGGTGGAGGGAGCCCTGCACACTGAAGCATCCGTTCCGTGAGAGGTGCAAGAAGTCACTATCTTAGGGGGTGGGGAGTCCCTTCAGCCAAGAATGAGAGGCCTCATCTTTCCCTTGAGGCCTGACTGGCAGCAGCATAGTTTGAAGTGTGCAGGTAAAGTAAACTGCATCTCTCTCGAAGGAGAGTCTGACTCTCCCTTTTGGTGTCCTGGTCTGTCCTGTCCTATCCTCTTCAGAGAGTCATCTCTTCTCCCCTTTGGTCCCTCTTTTGTCCAGGTGTTACTTTCAGGGCAAGGGCTTCCTGTCCTTCAGCCTTCCATTCTCAGTGAGTTCAGAGACTGACTGGACTGTCCAAGGTGACCAGGAGTTGAGTTGGGGGATGAAGCACAGCCTGGTGCCCCTTAACTCATCCAAACTGGGCAGTGCAGTCTCTCTCTAAGTCAGGCGGGGGCTTGGAACCCACTTAGGCAAAGTTGGAGATAAGGAGCAGGGCACTCCCGAGGCTCATGAGGCCACCAGGGTAGCCTGTGCTGGTGGCCTCAGAAGGACCTGGTTTGCGGATGGGTACAGCAGGAACAGCCTTAAGACGGTGGTGGTTGGAGAGAGTGCCTCAGCTGGGAGCGCTACAGGTGAACTGGGCCCTTCACTTCAACATTTGAGAACTTGCTTTGTGCTGGGTGGGCACTGTTCAAGGCAAAACAGCCATACTGTCATGGAGCTCATCCCTAGCTGAGAAAATTGAGACAAGTCACTGAGAGGTGCTAAGAAATACTAGAGCAACTTTAAAAGGATAGCAATGCTAAAAAAATGATAAAAGGATAGCAGTGTTATTGTATAAATTGGAGAGAAAGCTCCTCTGATAAGGTGACGTTTGAGCAAAGACTCGGAAGAAGTGAGATAATTCTTTCCCAGTTGTACCTGTCTCTCCACCAGGCTAGACACAAGTCTGTGACCCATGGATTGGGTGGGGATCCTGTGCACGGCGCCATCCCCTCCTTCCTCACTTTTCCACGCTCCCGCCTTCCTGATGGCTCGTAAGCCTTCATCCCTCTCCGCATCATGTGTGGGAGAGATGCGCCGCTGCTCTTAGTCTAGGGCACTTAATGGGCGACCTAACCACTGAAGAAGGGTGTAGAGAAACCTGCGTTAAGACCACCCTAGGCGGGGCGGGGCGGGTCAGCCACTCGCTACGCCCACTGGATGGCGATTGGCCATACTTCCGTTCCATTCCGCCCCGCTCCTCTAGGGGTCGCTGTGCTGCGTTTACAGTCGGCTCAGCGCATCTCAGACTAGGCGGAAGCGGCTTTCTGGCCTGCGCTTTATAGGCCTCTCGTGCTTCCTGTTTCCTCTTTTACCAAGGACCCGCCGACATGGTAGGTGTTTTTGTTTCCAAGCTGGTACCCCCCACAATCGTCCTCCATCCGCCGCTTTACGCGGCCCCCAGCCCGCGAGGAGGGGCGCAGTACCCTGTGAGGCCGAAGCCTCCGTGAGCCGCTGGCTTCCGCGTTGACCCCGCGCTCCAGCACTGCCCGGCTGGCCTTCTCCCTCTCTTGGGCTCAGACCCAGCCCACGAACCCCGCTCCGGTCAGGGCGTGACGCCGTGCTGTTCCTCGGAGGGGATTCCTGAGTCGCGAGTGACCCTGTGTTCTCCACTTGCAGGGTCGCGTTCGCACCAAAACCGTGAAGAAGGCGGCCCGGGTCATCATTGAGAAGTATTACACGCGCCTGGGTAACGACTTTCACACCAACAAGCGCGTGTGCGAGGAGATCGCCATCATTCCCAGCAAGAAGCTCCGCAACAAGATCGCAGGGTGAGTTGAGTCGGCGCTCGGCCTCCAGGGCCTGCTGGGAGATGGAGAGTCGTGGCGTGGGAGCTGGGTTAGCACTAGTCTCCCGCTGCTCCGAGAAGAGCGCTGGAGGTGTGCCTTTGCTGACTTTCTTGGTGGGGTTGTCTTATGTTCGCGTTGTATTTGGCGGTTTGACTGGCGGTGGCGCTTGGACGAGGTTAGCCACAGTCGACCTCTGGAAGATTAACGTTAAGTAAGGGCGTACGTGATTTAATGCTAATTTATGTAAAGTGGAATTCGAAGTAAAGAAAATGATGGCTGGGGGGAGGGGTCGTGAAGGTTTGTTGGGAGTACTTGACAGCCTTGAAAGCGAATTTGAATAGAGGATGTGCGACACCAAAGGGACAGGCATGCCTAGGTAAGTGGAGCTGCATGTGGAGGTTTTGTGTGTGTAGGAGATTCAGAGTCAGGGCCCCCAAGGTGAATCCTCTCCCTTCTCACTGCGGGAAGAGAACTAAAATACACATCCAGACGTTCTGGGTACCAGTGGGAGCCAATTTGTGTTCTTGGGCATTTGTTCTTTGTAGCTATGTCACACATCTGATGAAGCGGATTCAGAGAGGCCCAGTGAGAGGTATCTCCATCAAGCTGCAGGAGGAGGAGAGAGAGAGGAGAGATAATTACGTGCCTGAGGTAAACTTTCTGGGTCTTATTCTGGACCTCTTGTTCATCCTGAAAGATAAAGCAGGTTCCTGAGAACCGTTTCAGGTACCTGGTTTTCAAAGGGACCTCAGCTGAGTCTTCATATACCCTTTGACCAGCTGTAGGTACCTATAATTTACCTGCCTGTATGTTAGCTTCTGTTCTGCCCTGTTGGGATCATGTAAGTCCATTCTGTTTTATATATGAGAGCCTTTTAATGATGTTTGTTTGGTGACTTATGTCTTCTGGTTTGATTATTTGCCCTAGCATAGTATTTCTGAAGTATAAACCCAATCTTAAGGTTTTCTAAATACTGAATTCATGGGATGCTACTGTATCCTCTATGCCACCCATCCCCGTCCCCCACCCCCTTTTTTTGTTTCTCATTTAAGAATTTTAGAGAAAAGGCAGGGAAGGTGAGAGATAACTCATTGCTATTTGGGGCCTGCCTTGTTTCTTCTAGGTCTCAGCCCTGGATCAGGAAATCATTGAAGTAGATCCTGACACTAAGGAAATGCTGAAGCTCTTGGTAAGTGTTTGCTGAATTCCTAAAGTAGGGCTTCCCTGGTCACCAACCATCAGTAGCTTTCTACTATGGGTAATACTTCTAGGTAACACTTACTGAGTCTTTAAAATATATCAGGTAATCTCAACGTTTCTATATGGCGTTTCCCTTTTCCTCAGTATGTCCCATGAGGCACATCCTGTTATTTACATTTTATAGATGATGAAATGGTAACTTCAAGGTTAGTAGGTGGCAGGGATGGGAATCCATCCACCCTTCTAACCACTAACCTAGACTGCCTCCAAAGTGGGTTTTGAAGCTAGTTATTGAAGGTTCAGTTTGCTCTCCACACGAGGATAACTCCCAAATCCAGTGGCTGTTCTTCCAGGACTTCCAGAACACCCCTTCTCTCAGTTCCTTCTGTTCGCTTCTCGATTTTGTGGCTGGCTTCTCACATTTACCCCCTTGGTTCCATCCCTAGTTCTCTCTTCAGTCTGCCTGCTTGCTTCTGTATCTGTATGCTAATCACTCAAATGAGCTGTGGTCTCATTTCCAGTTGCTAACTGGGCACTACTTGGGTAGTTCAGCTATCTTCAGTACAATCTGTTAAGTGTCTCTTCTGTGACATATCTTAG